CCTAAATTTAAACTCAAAATGAAATATTACAAAAAAGTACATAATAACAAATGAAATTCGAAAAAAATTAAACATCTTTTTTTTCGTTCCTCTAAATTTGTCTATGAGTGTACATTTATTACAAATCATTTATCATTATCATTGGTTATAGAAATATGATGAAAAATAAAACAGCGTTTATATAAATTTCAAAATAAATAGTAACATAAATTTCTGTGGGTGTGAGTTTTGTTTATAAACTTCACTTTAGTCCAAAGCAAAGCAAAGCAAAAACACTCCCAGTGTTGAATTGTATCAAATCTTAAAAAGCAATATTTTGCAATAATTTTAATTCATATTAATAATAAAAACAAATAATCACACGAATAATTTTGGCTAGAAGCTGCATTAGGTGATGATAGTGCGACATCTGGTCGAAGTTAATAAGCTGATAAATTGTGGCAAGTAAGTGAACAACTTTCTAATGAAAATATGATTTGAATTAGTATGTTTATAGTTTTTTTATAATTCTACGATTCGGGACACAATTTTTGTAAATTTTGTTCTAGGCCCGCCGTCCATTTAGTAGTAGGTCCATTATGTAAGTTACCTAAAATCTAACACGCGAGGCGTAGCCCCTTCCTTCCCTGCACCACAAGCCGTCTCCCCTCCCCCTCCTCCGCGCTACACCACTGCATTCTATGTAAGTAATTGATACAAAATGATAGGTACTTTTTTTAAACAGTTTATGATTTTTTGTCAATCAAATTGATATTATATTGGCTATTGTGTGCTAATTAATTGGAGAGTTTAATTTGAAAAGAACAAATACATCATATCAACATAGCTCTCTCCCTATGCTTATGTTGGTACTATTGATTATTCTACTTGAAGTTTTAATTTAATTGAAGTACACAATGCATTTCATAAAAAACCTATTTCTAATTATAGATGGGCCAAATATGGATTTCACCGAATACGAATATTCGGCCGAAAGTTCGATAAAACCTTTAGAGAAGCGAATATTCACCCGAACATTATTGGACAGGATCACCTCGGTACCTAATCAATTTATGTCGAAACTTGTTACGGTAAAGCGCGCGGGATTAGCGCCGGACCCTGCCCGTCGCTCTCCCGCCACACCTGACATGTTATTGCATCATCTAGTACTGAGCAAATTGCCGGCACATGCTTATGTTTTGACTATTTTAGTGAGAAATAAAGTATTTAGTTGTGTTATTCTTAGTGAAAATTGATAATTATAAGATAAAGATCAGTGGCAAGAGATCCACTATTTAGACTATTGATAATTATAAGATAAAGATCAGTGGCAAGAGATCCACTATTTAGACTATTGATAATTATAAGATAAAGATCAGTGGCAAGAGATCCACTATTTAGACTTATTTTAGAGAAACTGACGACCAAAGTAAGTGAAATGAAATAATGTAATGTTTCTTTGTTTGATTCCAAAATCATTTTATCAAGCTTTCTATTTGCTATAGTTGGAAATAAATCTACAGTGCCTTAAAAACAACGCTATACAAGTAGATTTAACCCATAAATAAAATATACTTTCAACAGTTAAATAATGAAAGACATTAGGTACTCAATTTGTACATTTCAATACAGGGGACACTTTGAGTACCATTATAACGAATGTTCGGTGATTTTGCCGAATATTCGGCCGAATACGAATATTCGTTAAAGCTGAATACGCCGAATACCAAATAAGAAATGAACATTCGGCCCATCTCTATTTCTAATATAATAATTGTACAATACCAAAATAAAGCAACTTAACAATTTCAGAATTCAAAACACCCACATTAACAGACAAGTCTAAACAAATATTTAAGTCGCTAACGGGACTCAACTAGGCATTTCTAAAACAATATCTAACTAAAATATGTTAATCTGGAAAATATCTTAAAACATTGCTGTCTCCAAAACACGTTTTTGAAAAAAAATTGTTTGAAATTGTGTACTTAAAAATATGTTTCTATTATTACAATAAGTTGTAAAATGAATAAATAGACTTGTGAATCAATTGGTATAGGGATCAGTTGCATAAATATTGCTCCAAGTTTTAAAATATTTGGGAAATAATGATGGTGGCTACAAAATGCGAAACGTCAAAGTCGTAAGTAATTAGCAGTAGTAATATATAATACAATAAATACATTATTTATATACATTTTATTGTTTATTTTGTTCAACTTTCCTGACGTTGAAATATTTTAGTGCTTTTATAAGCAGTGGTTTATAGAGAAATGCCCAAGGTAAAAATACAATAAATCCTGAGAAGTAAAGACTAGAATATATTCTCCACCATTTTGAAATAACTTTTACATCAAATGGAGCTAAGCTCCAGCCCATAAAAATAATAGTATACATTTTCAGAAAAACATACAGAAAATATCTTATTACAAAGTTACTCCACATTTTCTTATAAATTTCTGTTTTGCTTATAATGCTCTCAAACTCCTTTTCCATAAACATTATAATAAATTCATTGAAGAAGGTAACATAGTAGCCTGATCTGATACCATGCCATAAAGCCAAAAACAACAGCGTGAACAGTTGGCTAAGATTCCTGTTATCCAGGAACTTTAGGCGCTTGTAGATGTATTCCGCAGCAAAATGATTAGTGTTGCAGTTAAAGCTGTCGATGTAATGTTGAAATTTAGTTGCACCTTCGAAACGGAGTAGTTTAATGTTGTTGCAACCATCCCACTTCGATATCACTCCATTGGCAGTTTTTTCCATTCCATTATATGATATTCCAAATCTGATACATGAAGCTGTAAAAAAGGTTTTTTTAATTTAGCATTTGTGTAATTTAACAATTGGATAAATACATTCAGATTTAAGGTGACATCCGCAGGAACTTGCTTTAATCAAAAAAGCATATCTTTTTCCAAAACCATGTAGCTTTTACCTATTTTGGCGCGAAATTAAATCTACAAAACTATACCGGTAACATCACCGGCTGATCGGTATCGGATAGACATTTTGTATCTCGTCACAGATTTGAGAGAACTGACCAATTTGACTATTGATTTGTGGGCACTTACATTGTACATAAAATAAAACACCTTCAATATTCACTTTAGCCTACATGCACGCATATGCTAACATGCTTTAAAAATTCAATTGTTTGCTGTCGATTAAACGATTTTTGTAAGTTTATCACAGGTACGAAACATCGGCTGCGAGTTATCTAATCTCTATTATTACTGCCTTAAATATAGTTCTTAGTGGTCTTGATAAACATTTTCTAAAGTATTGAATAACTAATTTTGTTAATAAAGCATGCTTGAAATTCATAACTTCAAAAGTTATGAGGAAAAACTCAAACCAAATAAAATTGAAAACAGTAGTTTAAATAGCTACAATAAATGATTTGAAATTAGAACATTCACCTTTAAGAAGACCGCAAAGCGAGATTTGACATTATTTATTTTAGCTGCATTGCAAGAGATTAACTCTTAAAGTCGCACGATAATTTTATCAAATGAAAACAACTAAAACAAGTTTTAATGGTTTATTGGGCGTTTAAAAAAAGTTATAAAATACCAAAAAAAATTTAGAGGCTTTACTTTTTGGAAAAACCTATGTATAATATACTATACATTGTCACACTCATTGAAAATGATCTGCGATTATCAATGTATAGCATACTATACATTATATTTTGTTACTGCTTCATGTGGTACGCCAAGAAACAGTTTCTATCCTTAACATAGCATAGATGTACATTGCATTTTGTGCACATTGTACTAGCTTGACCTCCTCTACAATATTTACAGCGTTGATAACTGGTTAACTGGGGCCAATGATCAAATTTGTCATACTGCACATCGTCAAGAGGCCTCTCGGCCATTGGTTTCTTAATCTTACTTTTTTCGGGTACAGATAAAATGTCTTTTACGGGCACAATTCTATTACGTTTCAGAAGTCCGGCATAAATTTCATAACTAAAGTCTTTTAGGCGATCTTGCTTCCTTTTTTTATTTATTTGGTTGTCGTGTCTACGACGTAACAGCCATGCATTGTTAATGCAAATGTCCAACAACTGAGAAAAAATGTTCATATACCATCTGTGAGATTTTATACCAGTGCGATATAATGCTATTAACATATCCGCCAAATCCACACCTCCCATATGGCGGTTATAATGCTTGACGATTTGAGGACACTGTATGTCTACGCGTCCTTTAGACTCCTTGCTGAAACGTTTGATATTCTCAAGAGGAAAAGCGTCAACATAGGAACTTACAAGCCTAACATGCTTATTATCAAACCACTTCACCACACTCAATTTATTGTCGTTGCACACCACTTGAGTAAACGCCCCTCTTCCTTTCTTTTGTAGCGATTTATCATTAATCATTTTAGATTCTGCATCTTTCAACCTATTTTTTCTAACAGTCCCCATACTAAATATTCCGTAATTTTCTCGTAAAATATATACTAATTCTAAAGATGTAAAAAAGTTATCAAAATATACGACACTACATGCCCTTTTTTTATAGATTTGCATAAAGCCAAAATTTTTTTACCTCCAACACCCAAAGACTCTTCTTCATTTGTAAATTGCACACCTGTAAATGTATCATCGCCAGCATAAAGCAGAAAATCGTAGATGATACCGGACACACCGGCTCTAACCAGATTTTTAAAGCCCCACTTGGCTTATTTGGGTTATACTGGCGACGGCTGCCGGCTTTTTTACCTTTATAGGGTATGACCATCTCATCAATACTGAAAGCATTTTCTTCCTAAACGGATAAACACTGTAACTGAATGCATTCAATTAGGGGTCGTAGTTTGTAATACCTATCTGAAGTATCAGCTTGAGTATTGTCAGTAAAATGTACAAATCTTCTTAATTGTTGGAAACGCCTCAAGGGCATTACATCTGCGATTTTTCCGTACCTAAACGACGATTTCCAATAGTCTTTATAAGACGGTAGAATTACTATACCCATAAGAATATTAATAGCCAAAAAATCTAATTATTCCTCTTCCGCAACTTTCCAGTTTCTTGAACGCTGTACAAATTGGTATTCGTGGTTATATGGCTCACCAAATCTCTGGGGTCGAAAAAAAAATCGAAAAAAATAGTCCAAAGGAGACCAATCAACCGGAACTTCATCTTCAAACGTATTATTAGGTATGTCAGCTCTGTGTTGAAATGACACTTTCTTCCAACGGAAACGTAAGGTTAGTTTTTTGATACATCGCCTTTTCACTTTATTAACGGAAACAGAAGGCCCAGTACGTTTTCTTTGCCCACGTGTCACTAAAGGTGTGACATCCGCTATGAGAGTAGATGGTTCAACAGACGTTATAGATGATACAGAAGAAATTAAAGGTATTGCGTCGTAATTGCATTGCGTAAGGCTAGGGAACACGGCGTTCAGGATTGGCGTTAGGGAAACTTGAAAAGTCTCTGAATCCACATCAGAAAAATCTTCTGCACGTGATTCCACCTCTTGCTTTGAATGATTGGGCGATGAAGTGGGGCTGCCGAGAATGTCGAGCTTTTCAAATGATGAATCCAGAGACGGCGCTGGTGAACTCTCGACATCTCTGACTTCATCATCACTACTGGATCCATCACTAACATCAGAACCAGCATTTCGTGCTGGAACCAAAGACAATATGCGTCTCGCTCTTCCGTTCATTATATTCTAAAAACAAAACGAAACAAACATGCAGTTCAACCATCACCCAAATAAAAGCCAAAAAGTTATTTATGCACTATGCGGAACTCGTATCATACCAAATCAACTAAAATTTGTTAGTACCATGTTAGTAGCAATGTATAGTATACTATACAAATAAATATAATGGCAAATAGTAGTGATTGTAGCACTGGATAGTATACCATACACGGATGTAAACAAGTTAAAATAATCCAAATATGACAACATCCAGGCCATTTAAGTTACACAATGGTTGGAATAACTCTTCACCTTTTCGATTTATGCATTACAAACCCGTAATAAGTAATAAAATCACGAAAATAAGTAAAACTCACCTTGACAATAATTTCTGAACGCGGTTTGTTCGTTATTTTTCACAACTGATTCAAATTTACCACAGATTAGCTATTTAGTGTAATGTTGACGTAAAAAGAAACGTTCAGAAATATGTCTTGTAATGAAATTTCGTTATTTTTTTTTCAGACGTATACCCTGCTATACAGTCACTTTAAGGGTTAAAAAGGATCGTACATATGAACTTAAGCACTTTGATACCAGATTTAACATTTTAGATAGGAAAGGTAGTAAAGAAATTATTCGGTAAAAGGGGAAACATATTGAATTTGTCTTTTTATAAATCACACTGGGATTACATTAGCATCTTTTCAGGATAACAAAAGTGCGACCAATATGACTATTCACCAATCACCTTCTGAATACAAATGGATGAATAAACTGGCTCTGTCAGCATATCGCAACTGTCAAATGGATTAAAATTAGGAGCAGAAGTGTCTAGAGGGAGAATTTTAGCAAATTTCAAAGTGTTTTGTTTCGCATGATAATTAAGGTATGACGAAGAGAAATGCTAAATATTATTGTGTGATAGTCACTTATTGCGCAAATGCAACTCTTGAAGACATTATCAATTTCCAGACAGAGTAATGCAGGGTCAAGAACAAGAACCTATTCATGAATATGGCGTTGTGCATTTCCACACATATTGTGTTAACGACAACAAGTATTATGTGCGCAAAAATACAAATTTGTTGCTTTTCAAGTGTGGTTTTCTTGTTATTGCTCCATATTTCCATATTAACCTAGAATACCCCGAATGTTAATGCAAATTTACGTTGGGCACAATTAGGTTAGAGCATGTTAGTTCATGAGTTAGCACACACTTACGGCACTATTATAACTCCGGCATACTTCATGAAATCTTTCGTCAGTGTCAATTTGTCGCCGTTAGATTTGGTTAGAAAATGTCATTTATATGTTCGTAAAAGAGTATTATAATTCATTAGTAAGAACTTTTAAATTCCTGAATAGAGGAATAAAGCATTTATCGGATATTGCTTTAAAAAGATATGTAATTTAAATTACAGTGTCAATTTAAATACAATGAACTTTTAAATATAATTCCATATCCAATTTCACTTAATGATATGTTTCTCATTTAAAAACATATACATTGTTTGTGTGGATATATTTTTACCTTTGACCTTTTGATAAACGTTATAACTATTAGTTGCTTAGAGACGGAAAAAGATATTTTCGGTATCTAACAATAGCAAAGATAACAAAATATTACTTTTTAATAATAATAATAATTTTATTTCAGATACAAGCTCCATAATTTGTTAGTACTAAATAATATAAACTTAAAATTAATGTTAATAAATATACAACTAAAAAACAACAATGCTTATTTTATATTAAATATAACAGCTCTGGACCCCATATGCACAGTGTTCCAGTGCCGCCCTACCGGACAATCAAACCTACCTAATACAGTACATAGGAGTCCGTTGGCACTGTCTCGCATGCTTCGCATCAGGGAGGCCACTCTCTTCCGCATTATTGCATCAAAGCTGTCCGTGTCAGCCTCAACAAACATACCTGATGCGCTGCAATATCGAGACAGCCCCAATAGCATCCTAAAGCCATTATTATATTGAACACGTAGAGCATTTACGGATCTGCGAGTATTCTTGACCCACAGGCTGCAGATGTAAAATGTTTGACAGTACGCCTTAAAAAGGGTTATCTTGACAGCTTTTGTACACCTTGCAAACCTGCGAGCCAGCATGTTGCACCTCACTGCTAACACTCTACATTCTCGTTCAATATCCAAGTCATCAGAGAGGTCATCTATAACCCAGTGCCCCAGGTATTTAAATTTGGTGACTCTACTTAAAGGTACTCCTCCAAGCATGACCGGTGGGATATCCTTGGGTTCTTTATTCCCTTCCTTGAAAACAAGTAGTTCACTCTTTTTGGAGTTGTACCTGAGGCCATGGGCTTCCGCGTATCTCTCACATAAATTTATTAATGTTTCAAGTGCTCTGATCGAAGGGCTCAGCAGCACCATGTCGTCCGCGTAACTGATGCTGTTTACGAAGTTACTATCTATTGAGCATCCAACGCCAGTTCTGCTAAGCTCATCGATCAATCCATTTATATATAGGTTAAAGAGCCTCAGTGAAGTTAAGCCCCCCTGTCTCACTCCACATTCCAACCTATATTCAGTCGAGTATGAACATGCCCACCTTACATTATTTGATTGGTTGTGGTACCAATACCTTAATATATCGACTATCTCTCTAGGCGTACTTGTTTTCCTCCGAAGCTTATCCCATAATAGGTTGTACGAGACCAGGTCAAATGCTTTCGACAAGTCCAAAAAACAGGCGTAGACAGGCGTTTTTCTCGTAACATAATACTGGACGGTATGCTTGAGTCGCAAGATTGCAGTTTCAGTGGACAGTTCAGGTATAAACCCAAACTGTGCCTCATGTACCTGTATATGTTTACTTATTCGACATGTATAAGCAAACCATCCAATACTTTGGCTATCACAGTAGCTAGCGAGATCGGTCTACAATTGTTCTTGTCGGCAGCATCCCTTTTTTTTTTCTTTAGAACTGGTACCACTATGGTCTTCAAAGCTCCTGAGGTAAGTATTCATGCCCTATACATGCATTATAGAGCATAGTCAACACCCTAGGCAGATGAGCTCCCGCATACTACAGGTGCTCAATACTGAGGTTATCATGACCAGATGATTTACCACGTGTCATATTATTTATGACATTTGCGACTTCTTTCGCAGTAAATCTGGCAGATTCACTGCATGATTTCTCCTCAATATCGAACACCCGCTGCACCGGTCCCAATGGAGATTCCACTTTGAAGTGTTCCCTAAAAACTTCTGCGATATGATGGGGCTCACTCTTACCATCGATACTCGCAGGTAAGCATGATGCAGTTTCCAGCTTCTTTGTTTGTTTCCAAAAACTCTTAAAATCTTTTTCTTTGTGGTGAGTAGCCAAAATATCCATTTTTATTTGGTACTCATTGTCTTGACACCACTTAAGCTTTGACTTAAAATACCTCCTAGCTTCTCGCATTCTGTCATATACATAACCCGCACTGGGCTTACCATACAGTAACCACATTTGGAAACTGCATCGTGCCTCCTGATGGACCTCCCGTAAGTACCTATTCCACCCAACAACCAGTTTGTGTTTACTACGCTTTCTTATCTCATAGCTAGTTTCAGCAGCTTCTCTTAAGATGTAAACAATAATATTATACAACCTATCAATTACAGTTCTATGATCTACATTTTTACACACTTTATCCGCACAAAAACTAAATTCTATCAGAAAATCAATATTTCTTAAATTATTATTTTACTGTATATGTTAATCTGATCAACGCCCCTCTCACCCCACTTCACCTTGTTACAACATTTTTCTTTATATTGCATTTTAAATAACAGATTACCTATCTTAAAATCTACTTCCAGTGGAAAATGATCTGACCAATAAACATCAAGGCATACCTTACAATTTAATACACATCGCCAAGCTGCCTCTGTTACCAGACAGTGATCAAGCCATCTTCGGCAGTCCTTTTTAATGTCACTTATATAAGTGTATGTGCCTGATGTCATTTTTAAATGGACCACGTCTGCACAGAGCCACATCCGCTCCTCACAGAAATTGGATAACTCATTATAGAATAATTCTCCGGGATGCGCATTAAGATCACCGAGAAATTAATTGAAGAATTTCGCAACTCTCGATTACCATTCAGCGTCTATTTCACTTAACACCTCTGTAAACTCAATTAAATTATCTTGATTCTCTGTAGGCATATACACCAAAAAAACCAGAAACAAACGGTTATTCGCACATATTTTAATAGCTGTCAGTCTAACACTATTACACGGAACGATTGTAACTGACGAAAACACACTTTTCTTCCACATTATCGCCACCCCATCATAGGATCGCCCACGGAGCATGCTGGTTGATGTGTCCACCGCTGACTTGCTCGTGAATTCAAAATCACTGTCAATATTCCCTATATATGCAATGTCATGCGGTAATAACCATGTCTCCTGAAGAGCTATTACGTGTGCCGTCTTGCATAATTCCCTCACCCCGTCCACTGATCTCGTTACTGACTTGCAATTAAAACTAATAAGTTTTATACTGTGATCATCATTTATGTCCATACTATACTTTTTATTAACTTTTACCACCAGCCTCACTCAAGCCCGTAGAAGGTAATTTCCTGTCATTAAAATTAATAAATCGCCGAAACGATATACCTTAAGGCCAAAGATTCTTGTCCAGGAACATTTCCGTCATATGCCGGGGAACACTTTATAAGACTTATAATCTTTTTGACGTTTCATTTTAATTTCCACCAACTGTAGAGCAACATTCGTTTTGCCTAAAATATAATCGGCAATGTCCTGGGTTGAAGTCTCTTTATCAACATTGTTTATAAACAACGGTATTCTTATATTTGCTGCCTTAAATTTACCCATAGGATCCTTCGACTGCCCCTGTAACCCAATAAATCTGTTCCTAAGTCTTTTCTTCTGCACCGTAATCCATTCTTCTCCCTTTTATTCAGAAATTCGCCCCCTCCCCGCACTACTTGTGAGAATGTACTTCGTTGGTTAA